GGAACCACCGCAGGCCCGAGAAAGCCGTGGGCCGCGAAGCCGACCCAGAAGGCGACTATCGCTCCTGCCGCGGTGGTCGGAGAATGCGCAAGCATGCCCGCTGCAAGCTTGAGCCCAGGCAGTTATGGAAACGGGTGATAACTGCAGGGGTGCAACAGACTAAACACTCATAGCAAGACCGTGCATCGCACAACCATGTTCAGCGATAGTTCACACCCAAACCCTTCAGTTCAGGCAGCTAGCCCGCTACGCAACAGCATCGGATCTCAACCACGAAGCGCTCACGTCGAACGCATCCTTGTCCTCCACCCTCAATGTACTTGTTCCCCGAGCGGCGCCGAGGTCATTCCTCACCCAAGACGTGGTCAAGGTATCCCTGACCATACGCTGGATAGACAGCCAACGGTCCCGTGGCGAATGGGCCTGTGTCGCAAGAGTGACGGAATTGCGCATGGGCAAAACCGACGGCGCTACGAGGACGATGATGATAATAGAAATAGAAGAAGCGCCATATAATGAAACTTTTGGCGCTAGGCGCGAATTTCTTGGATCTGGCGTGGAACCCCCTCCCTGGGGCGCGGAGCGCGCCAGGGGCGGCGCCGGAGACGCCGCTGGGGACGCCGCTGGGGGGGCCCAGCGCGGATCCAAGAAATCCGCGCGGAGCGCCAAAAGTTCACGTGTATGGCCTTGTTTCTTCTTCGAGAGAAGGACGAAGTAAAGGTAGAGGGACAACGGTGACGACGAGGAACAGGTGGAGGTGGGGGGGAAGGCAACAGGGGGATACCCGTGGAGGGCCTTCCGAGTCGAGACACGAATGATGCCTCAAGCGGCAGCCGAAGGATGCTGCCGCACGGAATCGAGACATGGCGCTCGTTGCGGTCGAACTCTTTCCTCCTCCTCATCATCATATGCTCATTCGACGCCATCCTTCCCTCCTCATACTCCTGCCATGTCTATTATATGTCCCATTCCCGTTCCACTTCCACCGCCTGCTCCCATGACAAGACTCTCTGCGGCGGAACTACGTGGTGACCCGTGCGCAGCACGGCTGAGCCGCGGCCGTCGATCCCCTCATCCCGGAGCCCCACTCCCTGCTAGCGGTCAAATGGACAACAGGAGTGCCACAGCCTGACCGCCCCACCGCAGCCCGAGCGCCGCCGCCGCCCGGGGCACACTGGCCTCCTGGGGGGGGCGTGTCACCCCTGGACCTGTACCTTCTGGGCGTGCCAGAAGATGTAGCACGGCACCCTAATACTAGATGCGGCATGTCCTCCTACAGGCGGGTTTGGGAGGGAAATCGGATCATGGTGAAAAATGCGGAAAATTACAAATAGTGGACAGATAATCTCCAGACTATTTTCTGACTATTCTTGAATGTTGCTCCTGTGGATGGACGTGCCCGACTTAAATCTAATAGCAGCAGTGGTGAACAGACGTGTCGAGAACAAGGAGGTGGTCCTGGCCCGAGAGGTGACGCCAGCTTTTCCAGGGAGGCTCCGATGGCCTCTGAAGGCCCCTCACACGAGGCCCGGAGAGCCCCATGGGGACTGTTCGGAAGAACGCGCCAAGCTCGGGGCACCTTGCCAGGGACACCGCCAGGGCTTAGTGGGCTATGGAAGCGGCAGGGCCTTTTTCACCGTTTCCGAAACAATCTTTTAAACGGCGAGATAAAAAAGAACGGCGACCAGAAGCGACAAACGAATGGCTCCGGGATTAGAACCGGAGCCGGAACTGGAAAAAAAACGGCGACGGAACTGGCAAAATAAGGCGTCGGAATCGGCAAAAAAAGCGGCAAAACGGAACCGGGAAAAAACAGCCCTGCCGCCACGGCGCTTCAGTGCAGCGGGCACTCCTCTTGGCCGCCAGCGGGGCCAGAGGACGACTGATGACTACCTACCAGACCCCCCCAACATAGACCGAAGTCCAAATTTGGGAGGCGTACGGGATCCATCCGTGTCTTTTCAATGTTCTGGGGTGCCCCCCGACTGGGAATGGAGGGCAACTTAGGGCCTTCGGGTTGGGTTGGGGTGGTTTCGTGGGTTTGAACGACTGGCCACTAGGCGCTCCGATTAACGCCCTCTCCGCGCTGCAGGCGTAGGCGCCGCTGGCCGAGTGCGGCAAGCAACAGGCAGGAAAAACGAGAAGACGAGCGCACTTTGCGCGACCCCCCCCCTTCCCGAAACAGATTGGCGTGGCGTGGGAAGCAGTGGACACCGAGCGCGCTACGCTCGCGAAGAGGAGGAAGAGGAGAAAGAGGAGGAGAAGGAAGAGGAGAAAGAGGAGGAGGAGGAGGAGGAGGAGGAGGAGGAGGAGGAGGAGAAGGAGGGGGAGAAGGGGGAGGGGGAGGAGAAGGAGGAGGGGAGGAGGAGGAGGGGGAGGAACAGGGAGAGGTCCCCATTGCGTGTCTGGAGCTCGGGAGCTGCGGCGCCCAACGGGGGGGGGGGGGCGTTCTCGCCCTGCGAGAGGGCGGCCTCCGCCTGCAGGCTGCCTCGGGCACAATACACGGACCTTGCAGCCGTGCTGCAGCGGATTTTCGCGTGGATTTCCGTCAACGCCAAACCCCAAAACGACGAGCGAAAAACGTAGTCAAATTCACGTGGATGTGTTGTAGTCTTCATTCCTGGCCCAACAAAAATCAGCACGAAATTCACTTCGAACTCCGGAACGAATTCTCCAGGACACTCCAGGCCCAGTCTACTGTGTTCCGAACGAAACCCGCTCTGCAATGCTGGCGCCATGACACGTGCGCTGACTCAGCCATACGCAAGTGGTGCCCCAACTGGGGTCCGTGGCTTCTGCTCGCGTGCAGCGCTGCGAGCAATGCCGCGAGTCTCCGGTCCATCTTCCAGTCGATGCGGCTTACGCATCGGGCTACGGCTGCGAATGCGCAGGACAGGGACGGGGACGAGGAGACGAAGGGAGGCAGGGGCTGGCTGAAGAGGGAGGGACCCTAGCTCTGACAGCTGGCCTGTCGGCAGTCGCCAAAGGCGGCGGCCCGAGAGCAATCAAGCAAGCCCAGACCATGCCAGCCGGAATGCCGTCAAAGTTTTGCCAGAATGAACATGGTATGAAGGAACGAAGCTTGTCTCGGGCCTGCACTGCGCCTGGGTCCAAAAGGCAAGCTGGAGGACGAATCCAACGAAGAACCCAAGAACCCAAGAGGGGGGGGTCTGTTCCGGACCTCTGCTTAGCGCGACTGTTTGCAAGAGTGCGTCCTACGGGGGAGACTCCACCTGCTCGAAACAGGCGCCAAAAATAGCCAAGATCTACTCCATGGCGGGGGGAGGGGAGGGGGAGTGCGAGGGCCCGCGCCGATCGGCAAAACAAGGAATAAGAAAACGATCACATTCGTAGATTTGATGCTCGGCGCTTCGGTGATATTGCGCGGAAAGCACGTGTCCGCCCCCCTCCTCTCACATGCCGATCATCATGAAATGGCCGGATCGCATCCAGTCGGACCGCGGTTCGCTCTGCATCGACTTCGAAGGCACCGACAGGAAAGGAGCTCCAGCGGGCGACATTGAAGGGTCTTGTCAACCATTGTTTGTGGTTACTTCTGGCGAGGAGGAGGAAGAGAAGCGACGAGAAGGAGAGAGCGAAGAAGAGAGAGAGGAGGAGGAGGAGGAGGAGGAGGAGGAGGAGGAGGAGGAGAAGCGAATATAAGCGAAGAGCGAAGAGGAGGAGGAGGAGGAGGAGGAGGAGGAGGAGCGAGGCGCGACGAGGAGAAGGAGGAGGAGCGAAGAGGAGGAGAAGGAGCGAGGTGCGAAGAGGAGGAGGAGGAGGAGGAGTAGGAGCGAAGAGGAGGACGAGGAGGAGGAGGAGGAAGAGGACCAGTGGAAACCCAAGAGTCATCAACGATGTTGGAATTAACCCTCCCTCCAAGCTCCCTCTTCATAGGCCCCTACAACGGTTTATTTCCATTGAGGTAACTGCCTTGTTAGAAAACAGCAGTTCGAAAATCCTGAAGCGTACCAAAACATTGTTCTCGGGATCTCAACGCCACGTATCAACCTGATTGCTGCGTCTTGACGATCCAGAATCGTGCCAAAACGCCACTCTTGGGACTTCAACACAGCGAATCAACATAACTGTTGCGCCCGCATGATCCTGAATCCTTCCACAACACGATTTCTTGTGCGCTGATCATGGGAATCCGTGAACCTCTTGCAAATTGTAGAAACGAATGTGCGCGGTGCTAAGGCGAGAGCCACATTTTGAAAAGGAACCGCCCTCAATCCATGGAGCTCTTGCAAACTTTTGAAACGAATGTGCGTGGCGCTAAGGCGAGAACCACATTTTGAAAGGGAACCGCCCTCAATCCGTGAAAGTCTTGCAACTGTTGAAAATGAATGTGCGCGGCGCTAAGGCGAGAACCACATGTTGAAAACCACCCGCCCTCAATCCGTGAAGATCTGGCAAATGTTTAAACACAAATGCGCGCGGCGCTAAGGCGAGAACCACATGTTGAAAACCACCCGCCCTCCAATCCGTGAAGCTCTTGCAAATTTTGAAACGAGTGTGCGCGGCGCTGCGGAGAGAGCCACATTTTGAAAACCACCCACCCTCAATCCGTGAAGCTCCTGCAAATATCTAAACGAATGTGCGCGGCGCTACGGCGAGAGCCACATTTTGAAAACCACCCGCCCTCAATCCGTGAAGCTCTTGCAAATGTTAAAACGAATGCGCGCGGCGCTAAGGCGAGAGCCACATTTTGAAAGCGACCCGCCCTCCATCTGTGAAACAGTTGTCACTTTTTCAGCTTCAGAGCCATAAATGGTGAGGAAGTCTCAGGCGAAACGCCCGGCCCGCCCTAAGGGTGCGACAGGGAGAAGTTACCTAGAAGGAGAAGGAATGGAGGAGGGGGCAGTGCAGCAGGCCCTGACCAGCGTAGCAGAACATTCCGAGGCGGCGGGCGGGACCTGGCCAGCTGTCAAGAGACTCGGCCTCGGGGAGCGGGGCGGGGCATCCGACAGGACTCTCCGGATAGGCGGCGCAGGAGATCAGGGAGAGCCTGGGAGGGGGGGGGGGGGCGATCATTGACGTCCCCGTCTTCCTGCGGGGGAGAGCGAGAGAGAGAGAGAGAGGGATGGAATGGGTCTGGGGGTGGGGTAGAGAAAGGGGGAGAGAGAGAGAGAGATAGACAAAGAGAGAGAGAGAGAGAGACAAAGGAGAAAGAGAACATAGAAATAGAAAGAGAGATAGAGTTAGGCAGAAAGAGCGAGAGCGAGAGAGATGGCTCCAAGGAGAGGCAGGAAGAGAGGGTGGGGCAACTATGGAGGAGAGAGGGAGAGAGAGAGAGAGAGAGAAACAAAACAAACACATAAGAGAGAGAGAGAAGTGTTGAGGAGTGAAGAAGAGAGAGGGAGAGAGCAAGAGAGAGAGAGAGAGAGAGAGCGCGAGCGAGACACAGAGATAGAGACAGAGAGAGAGAGATACACAACAAAAGGACGCACCGATGCGGACCGCAGGTCCGAGGGCCGTCCGGGCAGTCGGCTCGCGCCGCCCCCCCCTCTCGGGGCTGGAAGGCAGCGATCCCCCCGGGCACACATGACGGACAGCCGATTCCCCGCCGGGCGCAGCTGCTGACGCGACTGTGCATGCGTGACCCGCCGGCAGCAGGAGCATGGCCGCGGATCTGTGGTCGGGAGCGGCGAGAGCGCCGGGGGCGATGGGCTGTGTTGGCATGCCGCCCTCCCCGCGGTGAAGAGGAGCCGCTGGCAGGCTGGGGGCGGGGGCAAGTGCCAGTCCACGGCTAGCTGGCCAGGCTAGAACGTGGGACGCGGGTGGCAGCGCTTGAGGCTGTGGAGAAGTGAGCGTGGAGTAATTCACCAAATAAGGACCCCTAATCCTTTGGGAGGGGACCTAAGTTAGGCAGCCCAAAGCAGTAGGGATAGGGGCTCTTCTCCGCAGATCAATCGAACAACCGCCCACATCTGCGACCCCTGATGCAAAGACGGGGACCTCGGTGCGGCCACGTCTCCACTGTGTTGTCAGGGTCAGGGGCCCTTGGATTCTCGACGGTGGAGGGCCCGCAGAACTGCCAGGGTAGCCTGCACCGCGGGGGGGGCAGGGCAGCCGCGGGGGCACAGGGCAAAGGCGGCGGCCCCGTGCCGCGCGGCCTGGGCGAGGACGGAGGCGCTCCGAGATTGAGGGGGGGGCAAAGGCGGTCGTGAACGTCTTGGAGGCCAGCAGCGGGCGCCTTGTCCCGCTGCCGGAGGGTTCGCTCTGCCGCCGCACCACAGTCAGCCCGCACAGTAAGGATGGGCAACCTTCCCGAGGTTACCCCACTCGCATCCCTTGCCCCTTCTGCACATCCTCCACGACTTTCGCTGGACAACCTCGTTCGAGAAACTTTCACGTGGCCCTCCAAGGCCCTCGCAACCTGACCGCGCATCCTTTTGTTACGAGTCGACTGTAGCTGCAGCAGAGGCAGCGGGCGCAGAAACATGCGCGCGGTTGAGGCGCCGAGACAGACGGGAACATGTGGGGAAACCGAAGGGTACCGATACCGCTACTCCCCCGACCTCTGCAAGCGTGCGTTCTGACTGGGGTGTCCCGGTGGGCTTTCTGAAATTGTACTGTCAAATAGTACTGTTGTTAAGTGTGGAGCCCCCGAACCTGCGAAAAACATAAATTTTTGAAGCGCATCTGGCGGTGGCCACGAGGGCCTCCCAGGAGGCCCTAACAGTAGCGGCATCTGGGCACCGCTTCCTCCTCGAAGCGTGCTGGTCAGGTGGCCCTCCGGAGCCACGGGGGCCCCGGGGCAGGGCCGCCGTTGTGGCCCTGGGGCCGCAGAGAATAGGGCTAGGTCGGGCATGTCCCCCTGAAGGCGGATTTTCGACGAAAAATAAAAAAAACACCAAAACATGTTCAAACTTAGTCGACTATGTTTTCTTATGAATCCATGTTTTGAGTATTCCTCTTCTAGAGCGACAGGCCCGACTTAAGGCTAGGGGAGCGAAGAATTACAGAAGCCCGAAAAAAAATCCGGAGGTCCGCGCGGATTTTTCGGATCGGCGCTGGAGGCGCCGCCAAGGGGGTCCAGCGCGGATCCGAGAAATCCGCGCGGGCCTCCGAGTTTTTACGTTTGTGTCACTTTTCGTTCCCCTAGAGGAAGGGGAGGAAGGGCCCTGGCTGGGCAGAGGCGGAGGGGGGGCAGACCTCCGTCCCCTGTCGGGAGACGGAGGGGCGGCCGTGGGGTGGCGGTCATAGAAGAGGCCCTGTGGAGCTCCCGGGAGGGTCCAGGGGCCGCGCCGCGGGTGCTCGCCCGCCTGGGCAGAGCTGGCCACGGCGACAGGTGGGGCCCGGCACTCTGAGAGAGAGAGAGAGAGATGAACGAGAAGTGGACAGAACAGGGGAGGAGAGAGAGAGAGAGAGAGAGAAAAAAAAAAAGAGAGAGAGAGAGAGAGAAGGAGAGGGAGGAACAAGGCATGGACAGAACAGGGAGAGGGAGAAAGAGAGAGAGAGAGAGTAGAGAGAGAGAGAGAGAACAAACACACAAAACGAAAGCAAACGAAACGCTGGCGCATGCGAGCGCAGCCAATGCGGCCGTCGGTGGAGCTCTATGGGGCCACGAAACGTGCGAGCGGTGTGTCACAACGGGGGCCATAGGCGGAGCACGTGATGGGGCCACGAAGCGTGAGAGGGGTGTGCCAAAACAGGTGCGCTGGACGCATGCGAACGCAGTCACTGGGGCCGTCGGCGGAGCTCCCCATGCGACCACGAAGCGTGGGAGGGGTGTGCCAACATGGGTACCGTGGGCACATGCGGACGCAGCCACTGGGGCCATAGGTGGAGCACCCTATGGGGCCACGAAGCGTGTGAGGGGTTTGCCATAATGGGTGCGGTAGGCGCAAGCGAACGCAACTACTGGGGCCGTCGGTGGAGCTCCCTATGGGGCCACGAACCGTGTGAGCTGTGTGCCAAAATGAAAGCAGTGGGCGCATGCGGACGCAGCCACTGGAGCCCGTCGGTGGAGCGCCCTGTGGGGCCCCGAATCGTGTGAGAGGTGTGCCAAAATGAGTGCGGTGAACGCGTGCGAACGCAGCCACTGGGGCCGTCGGTGGAGTTCCCAATGGGCCATGAAACGATAGGCGCACGCGAACGCAGTGCGAACGCAGCCAGTGGGGGCGTCGGTGGAGCTCGTTATGGCGGCACGAAGCGTGTGAGGGGTGTGCCAAAATGGGTGCGGTGGGCGCGTGCGGGCGCTGCCGCTGGGGCCGTCGGTGGAGCTGCCTATGGGACCACGAAGCGTGGGAGGTGTGTGTGTGTGTGCCAAAATGGGTGCGGTGGGAGCGTTCGAACGCGTGCAATCAATCCTTCGGCGGAGCTCCCCATAGGGCCACGAAACGTGTGATGGGGTGTCGCAAAATGGATGTGGTGGGCGCATGCGAACGCAGCCGCTGGGGCCGTCGGTGGAGTTTCCGATGGGGTCACGAAGCGTGGGAGGGGTGTGCCAAGATGGGTACGGTGGACGCATGCGGACGCAGCCACTGGGGCCATAGGTGGAGCTCCCTTCGGGGCCACGAAACGTGTGAGGGGGTGTGCCAAAATGGGCGCGGTGGACGCGTGCGAACGCAACCACTGGGGCCGTCGGTGGAGCTCCCCTTGGGGCCACGAATTATGTGGGATGTGTGCCCAAATGGGTGCGGTGGACGCATGCGAACGCTTGCATGTTGGCCTTTGGTGGATCTTCTTATGGAGCCACGAAACGTGTGAGCTGTGTGCCAAAAATGGGCGCGGTGGGCGCATGCGGACGCAACAACTGCTGCCGCTGGTGGAGCTCCCTATGGGGCCACGTAGCGTGTGAGGGGTGTGCCAAAATGGGTGCGGTGGGCGCATGCGAGCGCTGGCATTTGGGCCTTTAGTGGAGCTCCCTATGGGGCCACGAAACGTGTGAGGGGTGTGCCTGAACAGAAGGGCAGAGGCAAGGATGGGAGGAGGAGGGAGGAGGGAGGAGAGGAGAAAAGGAAGGAGCGGGGGACGCCGCCCCGTCAAAACGAATACCCAACACCTCAGGATGGTTAGGAAGAGCACAAACAAGACAAGCAGGGTGGGTGGGAAGAGCGGAATGACCCTCCTTCGCGATCCAACGTTCCGCCGCGGTCCCCTGCCTGGTCCTCTGGGCCACAATGCGGCCTCGACCCATGCGGATTGCAATTGCTGGTTCGCGCGTCAAAACTGAATGGTGTTGCAAGTCCAGTGCAGAGTTGGTGCAGAATGTGCGACATTGTGGATTCCTCACACGTCAGTTGTGACTGCGTCGTACTGCTCAGTTGATGTTCTTGTCGCGGCAGATGGCCCTCCAAGCAATTCAAGGTCGAAGACTTGGGCGGGCTAAACTGATTTTGTTTCGATTGGTAGTGGTGGTGGTACTATGTATGTGTGCACTACCGAACTGGCTACGCACATCCTGGCATTATGCACGGCTGCAAACAGTTCGAGCCTGTCCTTGGCAATGTCGGATCGCGGGGTGGGGATGACGCCGTCCGCTGCTCGCGCCTGCGGTATTTCTTCCTGCCACGTCTCCACTCCATGTCTGTCTATCTGTCTGCATCCAGCATCGCCTGCTGCCTAGGCACACGCCGTTTCAATCTCAAGTCCACTCTTCCAACTAGGCGGGAACACCTCCATCGTATAACCAATATTGGTTGTGTCACTCACATTTGTCTTACCGTTGACCCATGGTACGGACACCACCTCAAAGAGGTATACTCTGTGACCTAAGCACTCTGCATTTGCAGAGCCGTAAGTAGGGAACCGAACTCTATACACCGACGCTGTTTCGAGCCCTGCACTGAAACTCGCACAAGAAAGCGGATCCTGGTGTATACGGGATCCTGGTGCATACATTGTTTCGTTGCTGCCTCGGGAAAGCGCGTAAAAGTATACAACACACCGCCCCGATGTCGTCCCCGACCCTACAAAAATCATAGGATTGAAAAACAGCCCGCCACTGGTAATGTATATGCTCCAGTTTCCGAGTAAGCGCAAACTCGTCTGAAGTTTCTGATCCGCTGATTGTAATGATGGCGGCAAAGCCAAATGGCGAGGTCCTCGGCCGATGTTTTCCCGCATGTCTTCAGTATGATCTAAGCACACAATTCGGCAATGAAAGGCTCTCAAGACATACGGCCAAATGCTGTCGATGAATTATACGGTCAGGTGGTCGAATGTTTCGTTCGTCAGTCTGCGCCGCTTGTGGTGCTCGCGCCTTTATCGCAGTGTGGCCGTGTTTTTGCCGCCTGAGTATCGCCGCCATCGTCCCTCCTCAGCCCTCCCTCCCCCCTGCCCCCCACTAGCTCCACCACCACCCCTTCTCGCCCATCCACAAATGAATGCCCAATATGCAGTAAGCCTGTCGCGAGGCCATGCCTATCAGTGTCCAGTGGTGCCTTCAGCCGCCTCCGACCTGAACACATCGTGGTCCTACTCCGCAGGCCTATCTCAACCCCTCCATCCGCCCATTTCACTCCTCTGTCTGTTCCTCCTCCACCTCCTCCTCCTCCTCGTCCTCCTCCTCCTCCTCCTCCTCCTCCTCCTCCCCGTCCTGACCCTCCTCCTCCTCCGCCTCCATCTCGGTCCATCCCTCCCTCTCTCCCTCCTCCTCCTCCTCCTCCTCCTCCTCCTCCTCCTCCTCCTCCTCCTCCTCCTCCGTTTTCTCCCTCGCCTCCTCCTCCTCATTGCCCCTCAACCCCTCTTGCTGTGAGACTGCCGGGTCCTCCTTCCCCTGCTGCGGCCTCCGCATCTCTCATCCTGCTCCCCCCCTCCTCCCCTGCTGCTCCTCCTCCTCCTCCTCCTCCTCCTCCTCATCCTCCTCCTCCTCCTCCTCCTCCTCCTCCCCACCTCCTACTCTGTTTACCCCCCTCCTGCCTTCTCTCCGACCCTCCTCCCCGTGCTTGTTCCTCCTCCTCCCCCTCCTCATCCTCCTCCACCTGCTCACCATACCTCCATTCCACCTCCTGTTCTGCTCCTCCTACCCATCCATTTCTAGAAGAAGAAAAGACGGCATAAACATAAATGTTTGGCGCCCCGCGCGGATCGGATTTCTTTTGGATCCGCGCCAGGGGGCGGCGCCGGAGGCGCCGCCATGGGGGGCCCCAGCGCGGACCCGAGAAATCCGCACAGAGTGCCCAAAAGTTCATGTTCATGATGTTTTTTCTCCGTCGATGCATCCTGCTCCTCCTCCTGCCCACCATTTCCTCCTCGTCCTTCTTTCTCCGCCTACGCTTAGGTCGGGCATGTCCTTCTGCAGGCGGATTTTGTAAGAAAAATGAAGATATTCAAAACACATTCAAACACATGTTCGAAAAATCGTCCCCCGACTACTTTTGCTATTCTTGCATATTCCGCCTGTAGAGGGACAGGCCCGACTTAAGCCCCACGCGGATACAAGAAATCCGCGCGGAGCGCCAAAAGTTTATGTTTATGGCGTTTTTCCTATTCGATTTACCCTGCTCCTTCTCCTGCCCATCCATTTGTTCCTCCTCCTCCTCCTCCTCCTCCTCCTCCTCCTCCTCCTCCTCCTCCTCCTCCTCCTCCTCTCAGGAGATCCCAGAATCGACTCGAGTTAAGTCGGACCGGCGATCGAAACGAATCGGATCGGCGGAAACCGGCAGCCGAATCGGGAGAAATCGAATCGGCCGAAATTGGCAGGCCAGTATAGCCTCCAGAAATGGGAGCCCACATCGGGATCCCGAGCCGAACCGCATCGGCATCGAGATCCATCGGACTCGAATCGAACCGAACCGGAGGAACCGAAACGGGCACCGAAACGGGCCCTGCACGCACGGGCGGAGCGAGCCGAACCGGAGGAACCGAAACGGGCACCGAACCGGAGGAACCGAAACGGGCCCCGAAACGCGCGGGCGGAGGGAGCCCGACCAGGTACTCCCCGTAGCGGCTGGGCAGGGAGGCGGCCCCGGAGTGCACTGGGCGCCAGCCGAGCGCCGCCGGCACCACGGCCGCCGCCATGCCGAGGAAGTGGCCGGCGCCCCACGCCGAGCCCACCGCGACTGCGCCTCAGAGGGGGAGGGGGACAAGGAAGAGGAGGAGGAGGAGGAGGAGGAGGAGGAGGAGGAGGAGGAGGAGGAGGAGGAGGAGGAGGAGGAGGAGGAGCGCAGCGTAGGAGAGAATCCATCCCAAACCTCTGAAATCTACTCGAAACCGCTTCCCTCATAGAGGGAGTGAAAAGAGGGCGAAGCCTCGCATATAGAGCGGCATACCTGGGAAGTCCCCGAGGCACGCGATGCAATAGAAGCCGCAGGACAGGAACCCGAAGTCGACAATGATATCGCCGATCTGAGATGCGCAACTGCTTGCCTAGCAACTTCATCCGTCAGGTCGGCCAGCGCTGTGCTGCAGCGCTGCAGTTGGAGGAGCTCTGCGCGTCGAAGAAAAGAAGCACCAGGAATCGCCCAGTCAGATGCGACATGTGCTGCAGGTGATTCCATACTGTCGGGAAGCATGTCGCACCTTATGAACAGTTCTCCAAGAGCGGATTCACCACGAGACTGCCGAAGAGCAGGAGGTGGAGCACCATGTCGCGGCTCAACAGGAGCTTCATGCAGTGCCACAGCAGGCTCTCGGTGACCAGCACTCTCGGGAGGCAGCGCAGCGCCACCGCGACACCCACCAGCATGCAGAGCCACCACACCCGAAGGAAGCGCAGCACTTTCATGTAGAGCAGCGCCGCCATGGCCCAGGCAGGTCCAATCCATGTCGTACACGTCATCTATCTTCTCATTTCCCGCGGGAAGCGTCACTGCCCCAGGAGGTCGCGCATCAGCATCACGTGCAACTCGAACGGCGTATGCAGGATCGTCGCACCAGCAGAACAGAACATCAGGAGGTAGTTCCTCAGGGGCGGGGTCGCCAACACACTCGCGTATACCAGCGTGGTGAAGTAGATGGTCGGCACATGCATCAGGGGATAGCGCAGCACAGGCGGGATCGCCACCACATTCATCCAGAGCATCGCTGTCAATCTGGAAGTCGGCACGAACATCACCATAACTTTCATCAGAGTCGGGGCCGCCACCACGTTCATGTAGAGCAGCGCTGTCAAGCTGATGGGCGGCACCAGGAAGGAGTACATCAGTGACGGGATCACTCCCACCCTCATGCAGGTCAGCGCCTTCAGGAAGAAGGGCAGCACGGGCAGCAAGGGATATCTCATCAGTTGGAAGACTGTCACACTGTTCATGCGTATCAGCGCTTCCAGGAAGAAGCTCAGCACGGGCATCAGGACGAGGCGCTGCACAGGCGGGAACGCCCACACCGTCATGCAGATCAGCGCCATCACGTTGAATGCCGTCGCAGTGGGGTTCAGCACCGACAAGCCGAAGGGCGCTAGAGGTAGAAGCAACCACGCCCTGAGACAATTGAGACATCAGCAACGTGACTGTATCCAGCAGCGGAGCCGTAGTAGACCGAAGGGCCTCCGTCGTCGCAGTTCTGTGCATGCCCATGGCGTCCTCCACAAACTCTCGGACACTATCGAGAAGCCCTGCTTTGAGACACCTCATCGCGTCATCGCATTCGCGCCGAAGACGTTCCAGCCGAGCCTCCAGGGCGACAACTTGAGGGTCAGGGACACGCTCCACTGCTCCACGAGAATCGCGAAGGGGAGCAGCAGCCACACCAGGCAGCGGGAAACCGAAGTCGAGGTCGTGCGCGCCACGTTCCTCGAACCTCCGCAACTCGAATTCAAAATCGATGTCCCAGCCAAGGGATTCGCCACAAACCTCAGCAGCGTGCTCCGTAGAAGCCCACACTTCCGGCGACGAGGAAGAAGAAGTGCACACACCGGGAGGCGAACAGGACGAGAGTGAAGATGCAAATTTAGCCTCCTGCAGCTCAGCGATAAACGACGCCACCTGCGGAATGTCAGAGTCGAAGCACGTAGCGATCGGGGTGATCGGAAGTGTCCAGCACGGGGGAGAAGATCTCGGGATAAGCTCGTCGAGACAAAGCGCCTCGCGGGGAGGCGAAGGAACAGCACCACCAGCAAAAGGAGGAGCGTGACGTTGTGCGCTCAGCGGTATGCGGTGCTTCGCCTTGCCATAGCACGAATTCTCATGGATGTACTCCCTGAACTCCTTGTCTGTGAGCTGCTCCTTGGCGGCGAGGATGGCCATGCGCAGCGAGTGCGAACGACGGCCTGACAGTTGCTGCAGTTCATGGTGAAGGCTGAGTCCACGAAGAACTCGGCGAGCATTCTGCGCCACATGCTGTGGAACAGCGACATGGCGAGTTCCAAGAGGAACGTGTTGAAGAAAACCACGCGCGAGAGCACGCTCACGACGGGCAGCGAGTTGCG